GTGACTCTATATGACAAAACGGCAAAATACTACGCACATGGCACCCTTTATCGTTAATATAACACGCGAACCGCGTCATAAATCGAAAGGCGCGAAAGGCGTCATAAATCCTTTAGCGTTAATATGAGACTACCCTACCCCACACCTAAACCTACCAATCACAGCGCATGTTATATTAACGATAACGGGTGCCATGTGCGTAGTATTTCGCCCTTTTGTCATATAGCGTCACATATAACGCTAAAGGATGAGAATGCGTTGGTATGTCACAATGCAGAGGAAAAGATATTACGCTACTTCTGACTTCAAGGGCCCAATGTTGATGGCTAAAGCTCTATGATTTGATCATAAACTTATTGTGAGTCTATTTGGAAGATTTTTTATGTCTCAGAAACCAGAATAAATAAAATAAAGGTAATTGTGATATTTTTTAAATATCTCAATGTGATATTATATCTTGCGATTTTGGATTTATAACTCCCAATGAGATTTTAGATCTCAAAATGAAACATTTCATCTTATTTAAAACTTTTTTACTCTGAAGTGGAAATGAGTTTCCATACAAAGCAGCAACCTTCTGATTGCCAGCCTTGGGGTTTTAGGCAATGCACCACCCCAAAGGGATAAGACTTGTACTTTTAGCTGAAATTCAACATGTTGTGTGTAACACAATGAGCAGTTTACCAGCCTGCAAACAAATGCCCACATAGGCCATACTTTTGCACTTATAAACATAAATACCAGTATGTAATGCACACCTGTCTGAGAATAAAACGTCCCACTGGAAATGTAAACCAAACGTGGGCTGGGAATGTTGTTGCTGTGTACACTGACATTACTATGAAGTCACTGGGTTAGGATGCTTTGGGTTTTTTGATTTCAGCCCTGACTAGATCCTGTTTCGTCCAGTTGCTGGATTTGGAGATGCCCATTAAATGTGGTGGCATAAACACCACAGTGGGTTGTATATTTCTGCATCAGACCTTATGTCACCACAAGAGCATCTTGGCTGGATACATCTGTGTTCTGATGGTCTGTGTGTGTGGAAATCATCTGTTCTGGTTTTCTGTTTTCATGTTGCATCATGCCAATTAATTAAACCTAATTTTGAAAACTAGCCTATTGTGTGTATGTCCAGTTGTATAAGACGTAGATATAATTGTCTAACTCTATTTGGTGGTTAAAGAGAGCTTGTGAGAAACTAGAATTGAGGCCACTCTAAACAATTCGTTTAAAAAAAAATCTTGTTCTTCATTATGGCAGGATTTTTTTCACTTATTAGTATTAGACCACTGCTGGATGACCTTTTTAAGCAGACACTTTCCAGATTTGCTGGAAATAATATTGAACAGATGTAGATGCCTTACTGCAGGAACTCACTTACACAGTAACTGTAAAATCCCTGGTCAAATTAGCAGCTCCCAGTAGATCCACGGATACTCATGTAAATGAACATCATCATGTGGTGTTATTCTTATTCTGCAAGTATTATAAATACAACTCAAAACCTATTCTAAAAAACTAGATGCTCCTTAGCCTTATAGTTGTGCATGTTTTTCTATTTTTCTTAGACAGTGTCAGGAGACATTTTTCAAAATGGCAGAAACAAGGACTTTCAAAATGAAGCTGATCATCAGCACATTTCTCCAGGTTTTTTTTTACCAAAAGGGGGCAGCACACACCATTAAGATCTTCACACAAGTGATTATATAATTGATGTCCTAGGTATGACTTCTAAAGTCAGAGTACATAGACTACTATTATCTTTTTTTCCCCTAAAATAAGTAATTTACTTAGCTTATAGTTTGCCATTTCAGACTTTTGATTGCTCTTTTTTCCAATGGATGTTGGAAATTTTGTTAGGTGATCTGAGAAATTGGCTGATTCATGTAATTAGATCAGTGGCTCTGTCATCTGTTGTTACTATTCAGTCAATGGTACAGTCACAGCAGTTATAGCACAGGCTATAAAACAGCAGACCTTGGAACTGTGTCTTTTCTCTCTTTGTCTGAATGGTGTGATGAGTGTCTAGCATTCACCATCATTCTGACTCATATACACTATTGCCCTGTGCACAAGTGTGTGGTCTTATTGACTGCTGTTAGTGTAGTAGTTTCATCATGAGATGTCTAGGCGGGTGAACCATGTGGTGTATATGAGCAACAAACAAAACCTGTATAATACACATTTTGTCATATTTCAGTATTTTATATGTAAAATGTACCATTTAGAATGCCTCAATATATACTAATTTACCACTGTTCAAAAGTTTGGGTTTTCTGAATGAAGTCTCTTATCATCAACACTCTGCATTTATTTGTTTGTCATATTGTGAAATACTACAATTTAAGCTATATATCATTTTTTTTCCTGTGATGAAAATGTATTCCTGTCATGGCAAAACTAGTCTTCAGTGGCACATGCATGACATCCTTTAGAAATAATTCCAATTTGCTGATTTGCTGCTCAAGAAATGTTTATTATTATTATTATTATTATTATTATTATCAATGCAAACAGTTGTGCTGATTATTTTTGTGGAAATGGTTATACATTTTGATGATCCTTTGATGAATAGAAAGTACATAATTTACCTGAAATAGAATTTTGAATGCACATTTGATTAATTTAATGCATCCTAGTTGAATAAAAGTGTTATCTTAAACATACTCACACTAAACTTTTAACTGGTATAGTGTGTGTGTGTATAGCTAACTTCAGAAGAATGAAGTAAACTTTAGTAAGGATGTTGAAGTGTGTGGCTGGGACAGAGCTTCTCTTTTGAACCTGTGTATTCCTGTTTCGTTTTTTTACTTTTCCCTTTTTCTCCTTGTCCATTTGCTCACACACATACACATGCACACAGAGATTGTTAGATTAAAAGCTGTCTGTCAAGGCGGTCAGATGTGATTCTTTTTCTATTCATACTTGTACTAGAACATGTTGTTGTATAACCCAACACTTTGATGATTTTTGTGTTATCTGAACTAGTGCCTAGCCATATTTTCTTTTATGACTTGGCAGAAGACTGTTTCACAAGATTCAAAATCAATAAAGCATTTCTTTTTAAGCACGAGGAGGTTAGGATAAAGAACGCATGTGGGAATGAGAGAAAGTAATGCAGAACGTCATATTTTGCAGCATATGTGAAAGTACAGAACTTTTTCATTGTGAAATAATACTTGGACGATCATCGTTTGGAGCTGTTGTCTGATATCTGACAGAGGTAATGTCAGGTCTCAGAATTTATTAGGAGAAATTCTGAACATCCACAAACACAAATGTTCAATAAAGCTTTCCTGTAAAAGTTTCATAGTTTATTAATCATATTTGTATTCAGGATAAAAAATCCTTCCTGTGTATTTATTTCTCGACACCTCCCTAGAAAGCAATCCTTCCCTCGCGGGTCAAAATGACCCGAAGCCTTAAAATTTTACTAGTCAATTGTTTTTGTCCGCTTCTTCCATACGAACCATTGTTTTCTCATATTTAACTCAGAGGGTTTTGGAAGTCTTGACATTGATTAAAATCTATCTCCACTGTGCAGCATGCCTGTTTGTCTCCATGCATGCACAAGTGTTTGTTTGTTCGAGACATTGAGGACATGTGTTTGCGTGGTAGTATCCACACAAAAAAAGTCTTTCTACGAATCAATCAAATTCAGTTCAAAATTTGTAGCAATTTCCGACAGTAACTGTTTTTGTGCATGTCTGTCTCCATGTGTAGTCTACTATAGTTAACACACATCATGCTGGCTGCTATTTCTAGAGAGGAGGCAGTGGCACGCGACCCTGGAGACCGGTTTAGCTCCCCGCAGTCCATCACACAGGTGACATGCGAAGACCTCGGAGAACATGTGCACCGCATGCCAGAGAAATGGAAAAATAAACAGCTGTTAGCGGAACACGGGCCCCTCCTGACCCACCACATTTGAGCTCCTCTTATGCACTTGTGAAGTTTATTGTGTTTCCTTTGCCTGATCGTAGAGTGTGCAGACCTCTTTTTAGTAGTAAGGCTTAGTGTGCATAGTAGCCATGAGATTTCATAGAAAGTAACAATGAGCTAAAGATAGAGGTGATGACAGGCCCCAGCCTGAGTGACAATGAATGTTTCCAGTGCAGTTGGCATTCAAGACACATTTATCATATTTTTAGACAGTGAAGGTTCTGAAGTCTTTCTAAAGACTTTGACTTGAACATCATATGTCTTTACAAAACTGAGATGTTTAAATTGTTTTAAAAAGTCATGGCCACTCTAGGACGGAGTTTCGGTATTAGATTTCCTGATTAGAATGTGATTCACAAGCTCTCGATTTGGTTCAATTCCCATACATGTTAATGTATTTCAGCTAGTCAATTTTGCTGACATGAAAGCATTTTCAAGAATCTCTCTCTCTCTGCTAATGATGCTAATTATACAGAGCAGTATTCCAGATTGATTCAAACCAGTAACTCGGGCTTTGGGCTACACTGGTCTTGGTGGATGATTTTGATCCACTAAAAAGAACTGTAATGACATAAGTGTCATTTTTGGTTGGGTGCATTGGACCATTCCATATATATTATTATAATTATTTTTACATGGAATTACTTTAATCTGATTATAGGCTTTAAAACAATTTTAAATATTATGGTTAACAATGGTATTACATTAAATAAAATAAATCTGAAAAAAAAAATGTAAATATTAGATGAAGATCCAGAACTTTGGGGAAAAAAACTGAATTTGAAATGTTGCCTTGTCAACTAACTGAAATGAGTACAAGTACTAATATGACTAAAACCGAAATAAAAATAAAGCTAAATAGAAATATAAAAAAAATCAAAATCATATAACACAATTGCTAAAACTTAGACCTGAAAATATAATAATAAATCTAATTCAAAATATATATATAAAAAAATACCACAATTATATCTAAACCATAATGATATAATGCTGGAAACACCATAGAAACCTTAGGCCCATTCTCAATTTCCTTGTCTTTCTATCTTACCCAGGTGGCTTGATGTAGGCATAGCCCACCTGAGCAGTGCCCCATGCTGGGTGATCTACCTGCGCGTTCTCCAGGATGCAGTGTGGCCCGGAGGTGAGCTGCCTGCGGTGCCACGACCAGAGAGAAGCCCAGAGCAGAGAGAGAAGACCAGACTTCAGTGCCTGCACTGCCTTATGCAGCTGTTCCCAGGTCAGTTCACAACATTAGAGCAGCTTCAGAATTAATGAGCAAGATCCTCTTCATTCACATCACGTTGTATCTACTATTGTATCTAAAACGTTTGAGGTTCATATGGTGTGTGGTTTCACATTACTGTGGAACTCAAACTGGAGGAGAACACATTTTCATGGCAAGCAGTACATAGTGACAGTATACAAAATTGTTTTTGTGTGAATTGTAGAGTTAATTACAGACATGCTTGGCTCAGGGAAATTCAGGCTAGTGTGGGAGCATTTGCTGGAATCTCTACAGGACCCCACTATCAACAGGTATTATTTTCTAAATTTACAATATCAAAGTCCTCCTAACAACAGATAATCCTCAATGACCTTAATTTTTAAGAATCTGTAGTGTTTATGAACTATAACCTAAATATGCTGGAAGTAAATGCCTATTAACAATTAAACTTGTAATGCAGGCACTTGGTGTACTGTGTTTTTGACCTGCTGCTGGAGTTCCTTGTTCCAGAATTTTCTGAGGAGTCGTTCCAGAGGTATTTACTTCAGAATCTCCCTGGAGATGTAGAGAGAACACCTTCATCCTCATAAGGACGCAGTTTCTTTTCTTCCATATTTCTGAATGCTGATGACAATTGGATGTGTTTATTAGATTTGCTTATCAGATTGGCAGGCTTTGTGGACAGCTGCTTTTGTCTTACAATGTTCATCTGACTCCCTAACCCGCAGTACATTTCAGATGGGTTTGGCATAGTGGTTTGGCAAGATGTTTGCCCCATTCTGAACTTAAACCTACTTATGTTGGCGCTTGAATATCGCATGTCATTTTAATTTGTTTATTCAAACTAAATCTAAAGCCACCTTCATTTCACATCATAGTCCTGGCAGGCCACTCAGATGGACACTTGAATGTAATTGAAATGTTCATACCTTTTATAATACCGTCTGAACCTTTTCCTAACCAATGCGTACTCATATTGCATCTTTGACCATAATCGTTTTATTTATATTATAGCATATACACATCAGCACACATTTTCAAACATTTCCTGTCTGAGAAACAGACAATTCAAATGAGCATTTGTCAAATATAAGATCTTTCATTGATGGGAATTGACCTGTTTTTAAATTGTTTAATTTGTAGTTGCTGCTCTGTGCGGTTTGTAGACAAAACATGAAGAGGGTCAGTCAAAATCCCTTCTTGGCAAAATTGTTGTTTGGATATGAATGTCCTCCCTGTGACTCTTTGAAATGAAGGAACAGCGGATGTACAGTGTTGGAATGTCTAAAGGTATTAAAGGATATAAAATACAATAATATTTTGGTCCTTGTCCTACTATTGGTTGTCCTTGTTACAGTGTATATAAACGTTTTAGTACGGAGTAATATAAATTAACATGTACTTACTGGTACTATAGGGGTAGGATCAGGTTTGGGTCAGGATTAGTTGCATGTAATTATGCACAATTTATAATTACCATAGAAATTACATGTAACATGTAACAAGGACACCGTAAATAAAGTGTTACTAATAGTTTATACCTATACAATGCCATTGAAAAGTTTGAGGTCGGTAATCAGCGAGGATGAAATGACATAGACATTTACAATGTTACAAAAGATGTTCTTATCATATTAACTAAAAAACAAATAAAAAAATAGCATCTCTGTTTCCATAAAAACAGCGTAGCCATTTTTACCATTGATAGAATTGTTTTTTGAGCAACAAATCAGCTTATTTGAATGATTCCTAAAGGATCATGTGACAATTCTGCTTTGCCATCATTGACATTAATTATATAAATAGAAAACTATTATTTTTAAATTGTAATAATATTTCACAGTTTGACTCTTTTTTTTTTTTTACTGTTTTTGATCAAACACATTCAGCCTCATTGAGAATAAGAGACCACTTTCAAAAACATAGCAAAATATACCTACCCCAAACTACTGAATTTGTATAGTGTGTATGTTTTTAGTTTTGTTTATTGTTCCATTAAAAGTAACAAAGATTATTAAGAATATCTATATAGATCTTAGTCAGGTAATGTATTTATCACTCTGATGTAGTCTTTGTAAACAGTTTTGATTCTTGCTGGGCTCTGTTCACTGTCAAATTACAGTAGGTTAGTCAATTGGGGACCACAAGTTAGACTAATAAGTAAGACGAGGTCCAGGGTTAGACTTAGTCAGGCTGCTGTAAGAGGGACTTTCATTCCTAAAATTGCAAGACTTCTATTTCCACGTCATCTGGCCTTGCAAATCTGGATCCAGAGTCGGACCTTTTTTAAACGTCTGTAACCAAGGCTAAGCTTAAAGGCATAGTTCACTTTGAAATTAATTGTTTGATATGTTTTAGCTTACCTCAAGGGCATCCAAGATGTAGGTGTCTTTGTTTCTACAGTATTTTCAATTTTAATATTTTTAGGTCAAACCGTTGTTGTCTGTCAGTCATATAATGGAAGTCTATGGGGATCTCCTAGATCAGTTGGATGTGACTGTGGTAACAAGAGGTAAAAATGTTTGTTTTCTCACACAAACCACTGGTTTCGTGTCTTAAGCCATCAATGTGTACTTACATTTACGAATCATTCAATCATGTTTAATTTTGACTTCTCTGTGCATGCTCTTTGAGGTAAACCGAGGGGAGGACCCCCTAAACCTCCATTATTTGACTGACAGACAACAACGGTTTGAGCGAAAAATATCAAAATTGAAAATACTGTGGAAACAAAGACACCTACATCTTGGATGCCCTTGAGGTAAGCTAAAACATATCAAAAATTCATTTCAAAGTGAAATATCCTTTTAAATCATGTTTAATTTTTATACTTCTCTGTGCAAGCTCTTTTACGAGAATCCCCACAGACTTCCATTATATGACTGACAGACAACAATGGTTTGACCTAAAAATATCAAAATTGAAAATACTGTGGAAACAAAGACACCTACATCTTGGATGCCCTTGCCATGAGGTAAGCTAAAACATATCAAAAATTCATTTCAAAGTGAACTATCCCCCAAGGAAGCAAAATTAGATAAATATTTTTTGTTATTTTCATTCTTGCGAGCATAGCCATCAGATGTCTGGTTTTATAATAAAGTCCATGTGTTATAATTTGGTGGTTTGCTAAACACACATTCTAGAAGCACTTTGTGTATTTGTCTCAGATGCTGGATTTGCGTACTAGATTTACGAGCGATGACTGCATGATAGCAACAGGTGTACAGAGACTTCAAATTCAAACACAGATGTATAATGCTTTCAACACTCTTTTAAAACAAAAAAGACAGAACTAAACAGGTTAAAACACAAGAATTTAAACACTTGTCTGAAAGATAAACTGTTATTTGTATGTATTTGCTCATATTTGTGGACAAACACATCCTACCGAGCTATGGACTCTGGGCTTTGTAGATACATTAAAAAGACATAATGTACAATCATGGCATGTTATGTATCAATATCCATGGTTGTTTATTGTTAATTATTGTCTCAGCATATAAGCAATAAACTTTGAAACAAATCTGTTGTACTTCTGTAAAAAATGGAGGCCATATAAATGTCTACTGACATATAAGTCTTACTGACATTGTTATTGTTTGTGGATCTGCATTTATCTTTTTTGACAGATTCTTCATACCAAAACAATATGAGCATTTACTAGAGCAGGTTGTTGAGAAAAACCTTCAATTCTGCAAGGAATGTTTTTTTAATTAACATTTTAAATCTTACTGTAGATTATAAACATTGTAGTAAAGCAAGCATTCATATTCTTGTGGCATTTGTTTACTTTTGAACTTTTTTTTTCTCCATTCTCTCACCTGATGGATTTTGGGTTCCTTGCCACTATAGCCTCTGGCTTGCTTAGTTGCAAAAACTTAATATTCAATAATATTATTGATCTGACTGAACTGAAGCAGTTGTATAAGAACTGAACTGAGCTGGACGATTGCATCACTGTTTCCTACAGAGCTGATTTATAGCCGAATTTAACCAATTTTAATAATTGATGATCTTTATAATGGAACTGAATCAACACTGAACTGACTTCATCTAAACAATGACATTTCTTCTTTTTAAAGCTGCTTTACAGCTGAATTGATCTCTCATTGAATCATTATTTTCATGTTGATCACTGTGTAAAGCTGCTTTGAAACAATCTGTAGGCCTGTTGTCATCAAGTATACTATAAAAATAAAGGTGATTTGATTTGGCTTATCTTTATTTATACTATTTCATTTACATTTCAGTTAAATGTCCATCAAAAAAAAAAAAAATAGGATGAAATCAGGTTATTTGCTAACGCTTTATTTTGTTGGTCCCCCAACAGACTTTCTCTGACTATTAGTAACTTGGCAACTACAAGTCAACTTATTAAACTAACCTGAACCCTAACACCTAACCATAACCCACCAGTCTACTGACAGTCTAATAATACTCTAATGAGAGTTAGTTGACATGTAGTTGAAAAGTTAATTATAGTTAGTAGAATGTCTAAAGTGGACTATCGAAATAAAGTGTAACCCACTTTTCCCTCAATCGTCTCAATTGAAAAAAGTGTACCAATCAAGTTAAATGGTGTCGTTCCAAACCATGCCCCCCTTCATCACAATGCATAACTTTCTTTATTAAAAAAAAGTTCTCTCAAGAATGGTTAGGGTGAGGTGTTGGGGTGAGGGTTAGTAGAATAAGCACATATACTTGCAAAGTTTCTTGTAGTCAGTAGAATGTCTGTTGGGGGATCATCAAAATAAAGTCTTAATTAGCCAGCAGCCATATCACCCTGTAGCCCAAGACTGGTTGCCCATTAAAGCTATGCAGGGCTGAGCCTGGTTAGTACCTGGATGGGAGACCTTCTGAGAAAGCCAGGTTGCTGCTGGTAGAGGTGTTAGTGTGGCCAGCAGGGGGTGCTCACCCTGTGGTCTGTGTGGGTCCTAATGCCCCAGCAAAGTGATGGGGACACTATGCTGTCAAAAAGAGCACCGTCCTTCGGATGAGACGTTAAACCGAGGTCCTGACTCTCTGTGGTCATAAAAAATCCCAGGATGTCTTTCGTAAGAGCAGGGGTGTAACCCCGGCATCCTGGCCAAATTTGCCCAGTGGCCTCTGTCCATCATGGCCTCCTAATCATCCCCATATACACCAATTGGCTTCATCACTGTCTCCTCTCCACCAGTAAGCTGGTGTGTGGTGAGCGTTCTGGCGCACTATGGCTGCCGTCGCATCATCCAGGTGGATGCTGCACATTGGTGGTGGTTGAGGAGATCCTCCCCTTCTATGTGAAGCGCTTTGAGTGTCCAGAAAAGCGCTATTTAAATGTAACGAATTATTATTATTTATTATTATTAAGTAAGTCAGATATTAAGCAGACAGTCTACATAATACTCTAATGTTTGGTAGTTGCAAAAAGTTACTTATTGAGTAAAATGTCAACAGTGAACTATCGAAATAGTGTGTTAGCTTTTTGCTTAGTTTATTGATTCCCTCCTGTGATTTTCCTATCATTATGATTCTCTTCTTGGTCGTTCTATAATCAGTGGGTTTGATGACAACTGTGATTGAAGTAATAATAACGTCAAGGTTTCACTGTTTTTATGGCAGATTTAGCAGAAATGGTGAATTTAGCATGAGAACATACAAAAGCTCAAGGAAAGATGAGAGCAGGATATGCTATGAAGGTTTGAGAGGTGCTTGCAGAAAGATTCATGAAAGGGTGTAAATCAATAGTATGTGCCCTGTTTGAAGTGGAGAGCTCCAAAGTCCATGTTAAAGAAGATAAATGAGTCCTTGTCTTTTTCCATGGCTTCAGTTTCTCTCTCGTAACACTGACGTGTTTGCTTTCTCAATGCTCATCTGTTTGGGAAAGACTTCATTTGCATGTGTTGTACTTTTGTTGCCATATTGTGTTGTCTGTTTACTATGAGAAAACATTTTGGCTCTTAAAACCTGAACATGGTTTTGACTTTGAACCTTTGATCAGGACAAGCCATTTGCATTCTGAACAGCTGGAATCTTTACCAGACACTTTACGTGCAATAACAAGTGATTTTGATCGAGAGACAGGAACGTGACAAAGTGTACTAAGAATGTTTCCAACATCAATATCATTACTTATCCCAAAAGAGCACATGTGATAATCAAGATCAGATCAGAACAAATATACAACCCTTAATCTCATTAAATGACAGAGCACTGTGGTGGAGTTTACAAGGTGATGGCTGTTAATATCAAAGAACTATACGTGCTGGTCCGAACGAGGTGAAAATTCAGCGTTCAATTACCCATTGCCGTCATTATTCGAGAGAGACAGGATGGATGATTATGTAAAACGCAGGTGGTAGAAGCCGAAATGCTTGAGTGTTGTCTGGGCCTTACGTAAGGGTACGGTATGTTTTTAATCACTGTCAGATGAGAGGAGAAACGGAGGTATTTCACTCACGTGCAAGTGTGTGCAGAAAGAGAACATAAGATTACAAAGCATTGACATCCTCCACTTTTAATAAGGACCAAGACAGGGTTCTTTCCAAACAAGCAGTGGCGATCTTGTACTTATTGCTGTTCCCGCAATAGCTGTTTTGCCTTAGCATAGTTAAAGTCAGTGATCATGTATAGGCAATTACATACCAGCTGCACCCTAGTAAATATAAGCAATCACTATAGCTTGCCTTCTCTTCCACTCTCTTTTCAAATGAAATGTTTGACTAATGAAACAAACTGAAGGGGAACCTCCATCAAATAAAGGAATATCTCTTGTTGGTAAAGATGAGGAACATTACTGTTAGACACAATCTGCTGTTGTTTCATCGTCTTTGCATTATAGTGACAATGTCACCATATGCTTCTGAATTTGTGCAGTATGAACCTCTGAACCACTAAATAAATCAATATATAAGTCAATAAATCCACAGTTTCAGTCATTCACCATTATTTTTCAGCATAACCTAGCTTACCAGTCAAAACACTGTGTGCACCTTCCCTCCAGCAACACCTGTTACCTGTGGGAAGGTTGCCATATCAACAGTGGGCTCAACAGTGGCCCCTACTGGACACATACCTATTAAAGACTTTTTGTTTGTACAGAAAATGTTGTGAAGCCAGTAGATGATGGGGTGAGAGGTGGTTTCAGTTTCTGGTTGCACGTCAATAGCTTTTTCTTTAGTATACAATTCTTGTTTTCCTCTTCAGTCCTAATAAATAGGTATTTTCATTAAAGATAAGAGAGCGAACCCTCATTGTCAGTTTAAGTCAAAGCAGACAACCTCCCACAGCTACCCTTAAGAACAGGCAATGAACTCACGTGCCAAACTATAGTGAGGATGCCTAGTGT